GACCGGGGCGAGAAAAGCCCCGTTCGTAAGTGCGGATCCGACATAAGTCTGATCCGCGTAAGTCAGGGACTGCCTGTATCTGCAGATTTACAAGGCTCTGTGCATCAGACTAGATAGTGAAAAGCCATTACCATGTGTTTCCCAGTTAATCCTGAGACCCTTAAATTCAGTTACATTTGAATGAACTCCATGGCTCTATTCCTTGGCCACAAACTTACACAGAAGGGGGAGAGGAGTTGTTTCTTAACCCTTCTCTGTTCTATCTTGCAGATGGTGCTGCTGGCTCGCTGCGAGGGACACTGCAGCCAGACATCACGCTCTGAGCCGATGGTCTCCTTCAGCACAGTTCTAAAACAACCATTCCGTTCTACCTGCCACTGTTGCCGGCCTCAGACCTCCAAGCTGAAAGCAATGAGGTTGCGCTGCTCAGGTGGCATGAGGCTCACTGCTACCTACCGCTACATCCTGTCTTGCCATTGTGAAGAGTGCAACTCCTAGGGGGAAACGCATTGCACATGAGGAGAGGGGGGACACTGCTGGATGAAAGGGATCCCAGAAAGCAACCCCAGACATGGAGATCTTGCCAGGACACTATTACAGTATTTCTACTACCACGGCTCTTCAAGCTGGACTGGATTTGAGCCATAGAAAATGAGAGGCCCTGGGGCCCTGGATTGCGCTGATAGTGTGAACAAAGACATCCCTCTGCTGGTCTGTGCTGAAGACATAACCCTGGTGACGTGAACAGGCCCACCAACAAGGAGGGGGACAAAAGGGGCAATTGCCCCAGGGTCTGGCAAGTCAAAGGGATCGAGGGCTCCTGGCTGCTGCTGGTGCTACTGAAGCAGGGGTGGTGGCCGGAGCTCTGGGCCCTTTAAGTCACCACTGGAGTGCCCCACAGCATGCTCCGGGCAGCATTGAGGGCTGGGCAGGGCATGTGTGCCACACTCCAGGTGGTGGCTGCCCTCAGCCCCGCCCCTTCCAAGAGCTCAGAGCAGACCCTCCCCTCTTGTCCTAGAGCCTGCGCAGGCTGTCGGCTCCTCTGTATATGAACCTTTCTTTCTGTAAGGTTATTTTGGCGAGGGGGAGGGGTAATATTTTCAGCCTTTCTTCTGCTCTGAACAAGACCAAATGAGAGGTGTTCCCCCCACCCCCACGAACAATAAAGACACCCAGAGAGAACTACAGGGTCCGTATTGCTGGAGATACTATATTCTAGACATTTTGGAAGCAGGATGGTTCATTCCTGCATACGATTGCTCATTGTATCACTTTATTCTCAATCCCTTAGTTATCTTACCCTCCAAAATGAATTGCATTGATGACAACGAATATATGTTACTTGATCTGGCAGACAAGTGCTGGACAATTTTAACTGTGGTTTAGCTGAAATTACAAATAAATAATTGAAAAGTGAACTGGCTATTGAATGAAGCATGGGAGTTGTCCAGCCCTAGACAGTTGAAATGATTTTTTGTAGTTGGATTGCATCTCAGCTCATTGGTCGAATGACATTTAGAAAGAAAAAGGTCATGCATTTCACTCTTTCTTCTCCAACATCCTGCGGGGGATCATTACAGCCAGACTGTAGCTGTCATAATGCACTAATTAAAAACTAGAAACTAAGACTGCTTTACAATTTAAAAATGGATCCTCTTAAATGGAGTCCCATCTTAAACGGGGCTGGCCTCATGAGGCACAGAACTCAGAGCTGGCAAAGCAACAACAATATATAAGAAAAACATTTATCCACAGATCTCAAAGTACTTCATCCAAAGAGAATAAATATCACCATCCCCTGTTTTAAAGATAAGGAATCTGAAGCACAGGGGCATTAATTGACATGCCTACAATAGTCCATGGCAGAGCCTGAATCCCAGCTCGTTTATGCTTATTCTCTGCAAGGAAGGATCTGACCACAAGTTGCCTTCCCCTTTAGGGCAACTGCTATACAAGGAAATAGGGTTAGCCAAGAGTTACAGAGCTTGCATAGCCTATACAGAGAGGCAATGTGTGTGTGTAACACATGGGGGTTCACATGCTCCCCCCCCAAAAAAAGTACTGCTTGGCTTGTACTGAGCATGCTCACATGGACTGAGCACACTCAGTAACTTCAGCTGAAGTCACTGCCCTCACTGTGCCACCCCCCCCCCGCCACTATTGGCAGACATGCACATTTTAAAAAAACAGTGCACCCAAGCTGCAGATTACTTTAATCATTTAGCATTTGGGGGGTCAGCTGAACAACAAATACCCAGAGCCTTCTACAAAATGGAAACTATTTGAAATTTATATGGATTTTGGCTTATTTTAGTGGTGCTATATTCAGTAGGATGGATAGTCAATCTCCTACAGAAGCTCTTCCCTGCATCCAGATCAATCTGAACAGGTGTTTCATGTAAGAAAGTCAAAGCCAAAAAAGAAGAGAGCTCTTAAGTGCTTCCTCCATGGCTCATAATGCCAAATTCAGCCCAGCTTCAAATCTTCACCGATACCCACATGGAATATGGCTACAATCCAATAAGTCACTCCAGAAGTCAGCTGGACGTCACTGCACAATGATGAATAGAAAGATAGAGGCTGGGGTTGGGAGTGGGTAGACAAGCCCAGAATTCAGCCCATCTGTTGTGTGCCATCTAAACTGTCTTGAACAATTACCTTATATAGCAGCCAAGCTTTTGGCAGTTATATCATGGGGATTCCATTAAGCACATTCAAGTGTCCCCAGCATCTCTGGGGGGGATGATTTCTCCAAGGTAAATAAACAGATTAAGTGGCCTGAAATGGAACTGAGCATTTCCAAGGCTTACACATGCTTTACTATGGTCAACCAAGCAGAGCTAACATCCTTGGCTGTTGCCTCCCCTTGAACACTCTGGGGAGGAGAGACATGTGGCAGGCAGGTACTCAGCTGAATTCTGGAGCAGACTATAAATCAGTAAAAGGAGAAAACTAATGGGACCAAATGTGCACAGACACTCACAGAGATTAGCGATGGACAGATGGTATAGACGGAAAAGGATAGCCCCTGTCTGCTGGAGAGCATCTTGTCATTGATGGCCAGTTTTAAACAGGAATTCTTAGAGCTGTGAATGAAGAATGAGTCAAATTGTTATGAGCAATGTAGCTCATAGTCAAATACCAGGACCATGACTGAAGGAGCAGCACAATGAGATCATTGGTCATGCATGATTCATTATTTCTTTCTGATGGTGTTTCTTTACATAGCCGATAAATGGTTTGCACATGACTGATAGGACAGTGTACTGAGCATTATCACTAAAAACTAATTTGTACAAGAGCTTCCCCAAGAGAACATTTTTGTGTGCCTTTTTGTGTTTCTTCATCTAAAATTCTTCATAATCCAAAACAGGCTCATTCCACCTTTTCATAAGAAAATTCCCTTGTTTATCTGAACCATTAATAATACATTTTCAGTTTTACCTTTGTATATTTTGAAGTAATATTATGTGGTTATCAAAGTATCTCTGTACTTAGTATAGAGAATTCTTCATGTGCTGAAGTTATGTTATTTTGTTATCAAAGATATTGGAAGCATTTTAAGGGCAACTTCTGGCATGCAGTGTGTCTTCCCTTTCCCCCAACACATGACATCAAGAAGCAGATCCTCAGCTCCACTGAAGTCACTAGGACTCTGACAATTTACACAGACTGAGAATTTCCTGCCTGGAGTTTTTACCACACAGTAGCCAATGTCTCAAACAAGGCAGGACTGGACTGATGAATAAAACCAAATTGAAAAGCTCGTTGGTTGTGTTGTTGCTCTCTCTCTCTTTGGTAAGAAGAGAGGGGTTAAAGAAAGAATTTCACTTCAGAGCCAGCATAGAAAAAAGAGAATATTTATAGTGAGAGAAAAACTTGGGATATATTTATTCCCATGTCCCTTTTTGATCACAATGCAAGAGCTATTATTGTCACCATAGGTCTCTCAAAAGATATTTGTATTTTAACAAAAGCTTTCTCTCATACCCAAGATTCCTTCCTCTTCTCTTGATCCTATAGTGAAGTCATCTCCTTGTAACTGCAAAATCTGTTGCTAGGCATATAATTGTTATGTCAATACACATTTTTTTACTTAGTTATAAGGTCAAATAAATACAACAGAGTTGGGATATGAAGGTGCCAACCCTATATGAAAACAAATTGAGTTGGTAAATGACAACATCTGAGCCAAATTTGTACATTCTTTCTCAATTTCTGCTTATCTCTTCCTCAGGTAAAACTTGTATTGGCTCCAGAAGGTAAGGCCCGATGGTCTAGTTTTCATATAGCATGGGAATTGTCTGGCACTAAACAATTGAAATGATTATTTGTAGTCGACTGTATGGCAGCTCAGTGGCTGAATAGTGTTGAGAATGAACTTCATGACCTTTTTCTTTCTTTCTCCTCTAACATTGTGGGGGAAGCAAGGGGTGATCGTTACAGCCAGACTGTAGCTGTCACAAAATGAGTGCTTAAAATTTAGCAGCTAAATCTGTATTTTGACGCCCATATATCAATTTTAGGCAGCTAAACAAAGTACACAAATCATCAATTATGTGCAACAATATGGATTCACATCACCCATGTAGAGCAACCATCTTGAAAAAACTGAAAATTGTTCGAGAAAATATGAAAATTAAATTACTTTGTTTCATTAGCATGCAATTGTAGTTGATACATCTACAATATGTTCTGAAGGTTTGGCTATAATATAAGTACCTCTATAATAATGTTCCTTAAGAACAGAAGGGAAAGGGACAGTTGTCTAGGCAATGCTTTGGGGGTAGAACGAAGGGCGGATTCTTTGCAAAAATGTCCTTTCCTCGGCATCTGAATGTATGTGTCTGAGGTTTTTCTTTTTCCACTGAGATTGACCCTTCCTGAAGAAGGATCCACCACACTAGAAGGATGAACAGCTTCTTTAAAGAACATTCTATGGTTTGTCCAACAGGCAAGATGCTCCTACAACCAAAGGCCACAATCATCTCTCCCCACTTTCTCCTTCCTTCTTCCCTTCCTCCCTTCCTTCCTTCCTTCCTTCCTTCCTTCCTTCCTTTCCCTAATGTGTGGGCCACTAAATCTGACCCACAACAATCTTTTCTGTAACCACATCTCCCATGGTTCAGTTCACAGTATCATGCTACCCAGTTGGTTTACTTTTTAAAATCACATACTACTTTATCAGCAATGCTATAGTTAAATTTGAATTGGCTTAATTTCATTATAATTATTTAGAAATGGAGCTTAGATGGAGAACGACACAAACTCAGATCATGCAAAAATAACTATAGTGAAGAGCTTCATTGGGGTTATTTATTTGTAAGAAGAGAATTATAATCCAATATATATCTGAGACCCTGTTAGGAAGGAGTTGTGATGTGCTACTATCATAATTTAGCATACATTGAGTACTTTGCCCCACTTCAAGGGGACAACTCGTGCTCACATGCATACTTAAATGATTTTGCTGAGTTAGCCCCTGTATAAATAATAACAATTACATTAAGAGCTCACTGTTTTCCTGAAGATGTCCCTAGGGATATTAATTATGCTTTCCCTTGGCTTGTGAGGTTGGAGAACTTTTATAGATAAGAAACCCTGAGCCTGGCTGTCTCTGCTTGGTATAATCAAATGCATTTGTAAGCTGTTTGTACAATGCTAAGTACAATAAAGGGGCCTGACATGAAGTTCACTGACAGTAAGGGGAGTCTGATGTCTCTGATGGGCTTTAGATCAGGTCCTAAATGAACACTTCTTACAGTAAACAAATAACAAATTAACCATTTTATAATCACGGAGGCAGGTGTACAATGATCAACTCTTTGCAAATTTGCACTGGCACACAGACTGATTTATAATTTGCAGTTAAATGGGTTTTTGTGAATGGGCAAGAACAATAAAAAGCTAGAAGTTAGTGCAGCAATGGATTAGTCCAATCTCCTGCTCTTCTGTGTGTCTTTCTTCAGTGCTGCTTCTGTTTTTTAGCAACTGATTTGGGAAGAAGAGTAACTTAGAATGTTGTGGGTCCTTTTCTTGGAAGAGAGGCATATTTCAGTGCCTATGCTAGTATAACCCACACACCTAGGGTGCGTCTACACTGCATCCTTACCTAAAATTAAGCTACGCAATTAGCACTATGCAAATTGTGTAGCTTATTTCGAGGTCATTTTGAAATAAAGTGCTATTCTGACAAGTGTGGAATGAGGGTTACAGGGATGCCGGAATAGCGCACCTGTTATTTCAAAATATATTTTGAAATAACAGGTGCGTTTAAAGATCAGGAATAGTTATTTCTGTATACTTCTGGTATCCCTAAATAGCACCGCTGTCTAGACGTAGCCCTAGTGTGGTTCACTGTCCCTAGGAGTGACACTTAGACCACTCATTCTTATCTCTCATTGTAAGTGAAGTCTAAAGCATAAGCTGAGAGCCAGCTGGCTTTATGACTCAGGCTCTAGAGCTCACTCATTCTTATCTCTCATTGGAAATGGTCTACATGGGACAGTGAACCACACTAGATGTGTGGGTTACACTAGCAAGTCCACAGAAGGTTTGCAGTGGAGTTTGAAAGAAATGGGATTAGGCCTTAAAGAGTTTTCCCTCCAGCTCTGTGTATATATTATTTTTCAGAAAATCTGAACATCCTAAAAAAGTTTAGAGTAACAGCAGGAGACAGAAACAGATCACTGTGAGCATATGGAGCTCCCATGTTTATAAGGGTGTTTTCCCTACTTTCTTTGACTCAGTAGAGGATTAAAATACAAAGGCTGAAACAAAAACATATATGCAGCACAAGTGATTGACAACTTTATAAGCAAGATTGCACTATTACAAATTCTGAAACACTGTGAGGAATCTAAAAGGGATTTCAAAGGGACGTCATAAATCTTTTACCTGTGACAAAAATCAACCCTTCTCTGGTACCTTATTACTGAACAGTCTCATTGGAAGCAGGGGAGTTATTTAAGAAATAAGGTGTTACTTATTGTGAGAGAAAAGGTTAGACTCTTTAGGAAGTCCTGTGTCCATAGAAGGATACTCTTTCAATCTATATTTTCTCTAGTCCTCTTCCTTATAGTCAACCCACAGACATTTTTAATAACTTCAAGATGTTTACATTTTTTATTGCTTTTGTGATAAAATTATTGCTCTAGGCATTTGGAAGCCATGTCTCAATTATACTCTTGTACAATATTAAAAAGTGTGCCTTTTTCCCCACTGACCACAGCCATAGGAAGGAAAAGATGGCACAAGAGAAGCAGTGGTATCTAATTTCTTTAGTTCATTATTAATTGTCATGAATTTTGGGACAATGAAATTGTGTTTTGTGTTCCATTGAACACTGAGTATAGGACTTGTCCCTAAAGGATTCCTTACACAACATTAAGAGTTGTCTAGATGAATACAACTGTTGTATGGCAGATAGGGGTATAAATCTACCTTACATTAGTGATCTGCATTCCAATTGCCCATGTTGATGTTGCATACACCAGGGTGTGCTTTGATCTACTCCCATTTCAAAGCAGGGTTTATCAAAGTGCATTAAGAAGTTTTTAGTGTGAGGCAGCAGGTTTCACATAGATAGTCACTGCCTGCACATTTAGACCCCATTCTGTCTTGCACTAATTGTGAATTTAGACAAGCCCTAACTGAATTAACACGAAGAGCCTGGCTACACAGAGGCATTCAGAAAAGCGAATCTGAATTAACTTTCAAAGTGGATTATTTAAAGTGCATTAAATCCCTTTATGGAAGGTCCTATTCAAAATTAAAGTGCCCTTAATTTGATTTAGCATAATTCACTTTGGACCCCCGTGTAGACATTCTTATTTAGAATTAAAGTGGCTTTAAAGCCTCTTACATTTTCGGTGAATGTTCACATATAGTTTTAATGTGGTTTCCTAATTCACTTCAAATTAATACTTTTACTTAATTTGGATTAATGCTTCCAAGTGTTCCTGTGTCGATAAGCCCTCAGTGAATACTGTAAACACCCGTGGTGAGATTTTCAAAGGCTTCCATGGCCAGATCTTCAAAGACCTTTAGGTGCCTAAATTCCATTAATTTAATGGGCATTAGGTGCCTAAATATCTTTGAGAATCTGGGCTTCAGTTTTATCACGTTTTGCTTCCAATGGAAAAAAAATCCCACTGAGTTTAGTGGGAATGGAATCAGGTCCTCTCTGAAAATTGTAGAAAATCCCTTTCTTGGAATCCAGTCCTGAGATGGGGCTAGTAATATTAAGAATGCTATTCAAAGGGGTAGATGTTTGTAGTCCTCTGCATTTTAAGCTCAAAATTCAGTTAACATTAATTTAGGTAAGTTCAGACTTTAGTTTATTCAACTTTTCTTCTTCTTTGTTTTCCTGTCCCTCTAGTCCTACACTACAGCATAAGCCCTATTCAGGTTTTGAAAGAGAATTGCTAATACTGCACACATCCTGGGACCTTCACATATAAAACGGTGGCTGAAAATGAAGTTCGTCAAATGTGGGGGTCCTGTAAGATGTTGCTGCAAATATGTGAGGACTGAAACTTGACTCTAGTTTTGCATTGAAGTCTTTAATCTCAAATATTAAACATCCTTAATAATGACAGTGCTGTGTTCCCATATTTAGGGCTTTTCTACAGGAAAGCTGTAAGTCGATCTATATTACACTACTTCCATTATGTAAGTTATGTCACTGAAGTTGACATAACTTAGATTGGCTTTTAGAGGTGTTTCCAATGCACTATGTCAAAGGAAGATGCTCTCCCACGA